TGTGTGTGTGTGTGTGTGTGTGTGTGTGTGTGTGTGTGTGTGTGTGTGTGTGTGTTTTAATAGCAGTTCTGGGGCTTCACACTGAGTTACATTCCTAGCTTTTTTTTTGAGACAGGGTCTCACTAAATTGTCCTGGCCAGGTTGGAAATTTCAGTCCTCCAGTCTCAAGTCTCCCAGAATGCTGGGATTACAAGCCTGTGCCACCAAGCTTGTCTCTGTATGAAAGTTTGTATTCAAGTGTCTAAATAGAGCCATAGTCCCACATTCCTGTATAGTCTGAGGTAAGAAAACATTTGTGGTGACATGAGCAAAAACCAAAGTGAAACATTCTGTGGAAGGAAAATAACAGTTTCTCAGGCTGCAAGTGAGAATTAAAGTGACTAGAGATAGAACTGATGAAAATCAAAGAAAAAGACAAGTTTTGACAATCCCTTGGGATCACTAAATCTAACCATCTTCCTAATGCTTTTAGCCTTCTGTAGTGTTTGCCTTTCGGTCTCAATTCATAGATCCCTGAAAACATTTGCTCCTTCTATAGGAGGTTTATCAAGTGCTCTTTATGTGGCTGACTAGGAATTTGAGATATGATTGCCTGTAATCCCAGCACTGAGGAGGCTGAGATAGGGAGGATCACTTGCAGTGACGCCAATTTGGGCCATTTAGTGACTTCAAGGTCAACTGAACAACAGGAGACTCTATGAAACAAAGAAAAAAACAATTTCATTCTTCGTGAAACTTCTGGAACATTGTCTTCTAAAGCAATTTGTCCTGGATTGAATGGCACTGGTATCTCTAAGCTGTCTACCAGGGAGAAGCAGTTCACAACCAGCCCCTTCCTCTGTGTAGGTAGCTCAGTGTATTTGTTTTTTTATTGTTGTTGTTTTTGAGGCAGGTTCTTTTTGTTGCCTGGGCTAACCCCAAACTTTTGAGTTTTAAGAAGCAATCCTTCTACCTCCCACATACCTGGGATTGCAGTCTTGTGCCACTAGGCCCAGGAGGTTCTCATACTTCAAATAATATTTTTCCTTCTAGCATATCATAGTCTCATTGGATTATTAGTCAGATACTTCTTTGTTTTTGTTTGTTTGTTTTGTTTTTTTGTTTTTTTGAGACAGGGTCTCACTATGTAGTTGAGACTGACCTGGAACTCACTAGGTAGCCCAGGCTGATCTCAAACTCACAGTAATCCTCCTGCCTCAGCCTCCCGAGTGCTGGGATTGCAGGTGTGCACCACCATGCCCAGCTGGATAATTCTTTTTTAAAGAGTTTCATTTCTCTTAATGTATGTATCAGGAGAGAACGATACCATGAAATTGAGGGCAAGGCTTTGCCCTAGCCTGGTCATTATGCTGACCTCAGTTTTGGAATCTCAATACCCATCAAGTAGGAACCATTAGCTGGAGGTGTCATAGTTTAATCTCATTCATGCCCTATGGGGCAGGTGGCACCAGCCTCATTTTATACACTCAGAACTTGAGATCTATGTAATTTTCTGACTTTTCACTCAGTACTAAGGTGTGAACTCAGGGTCTCCTTAGTTGCTCGGTCTGGGATCCAACTTGTGATCCTCCTGCCTTAGCTTACCAAGTACCTGGGAATATAGGCGTGTACCACTATGATCCTTTACTTGTTTTTTTTTTGGCACCGAGGATCAAACTGTGGTCCTTGTGCTTGCAAGGCAGGCACTGAAACCACTGAGCTAAATCCCTGGCCCCCATTGCCTATTTTTTAATTGAGTTTTATGTTCAGTATGGGTGGTTTCCTCTTGTGTTCTGTGAGTTGTCTTAATTATCTTGATAATGTTCTTTAATATACATTCTGCTTTTTACTTATATCCATTTTACCTATTTTTGTTGCTTGTGCCTTTGGTATCATAACTAAGAATTCATTGCCAAATTCAAGGTCAGAAGATTTACCCTCTGATCTCCTCTAAGTTTTATGGTTTTAACTCTTATATTTAAGTCATTAATTCATTTTAATTTCTTATGCACAGTGTGAAATGATACAAATTGTTTTGCAGATGGCAATCCAGTTGTCCCATTCATCGACAAGAGTGTTTATTCACAGCAATCAAATATCAGTTGATTATAGCTATATGCATTTATTTCTGAACTCCTGATACCACACTTTTTTTTACCACACTGTTTTGATTACTGTAGCTTTATGTGGTGATTGTGAAATCAGGAAGTTTGAGTCTTGTGAATTTGGTTGTTTTCAGGATTCTGTTGACTCATCGGTATACCTTGTGATTCCATAAGAATTTGAAGATCAAAGCGAGTCCTGGTGGCACAAACCTATGATCCCAACTCTAGGAGGCCTAAGCAGGAGGATCATAAATTTGAGGTCTGGGTGACTTAGTAAGACCTTGTCTCAAAATATAATGAAAAAAAGAAAAAGAAAGGATTGGGGATATAGCTCAGTGCTGTCTGGGTGTAGTCCCTGTACTACCGCGAAAGTTAAGAGTCTAAAGATCATCAGTTTTTTTCATTTCTTCAAAAATGAATTTGGGTGACATTTATTCCTCCTTTTTTCCCCTCCTTCTCTCTTTTAACTTTGATAGATTTTTGTTTGTTTGTTTGTTTTTTGAGAAAGCATCTCACTGTGTAAACCAGACTACCCTCAGATCTTCCTGCTTCAGCCTCCCAAGTGCTAGGATTACAAGAGCGTGCCACCATATCTAGCTAGATTTCTTTCTAATTTTTTTGTATGATTTTGACTTTAACGATTGAGAGTCAAACGTTCATTTCTCTTCTGTTGGGGATAGTAGACAATGAGAGGGGGTACTTTGTACTCAGAAGCTGCTTCTGGAATGCATTCCTACCAGCTGAATAATTCACTGGGCTCGTTGCATCTTTAACACTGCATGATTTTTTAGGTTCAAGTACTGGAGAGAAGATTTGAGTAGTCTTTTAAAAAAACTGATCAAGGTGAACATGGTGGCGCATGCCTATAATCCGAAGAGGTTGAGGCAGGAGGATTGCCTGGAGTTTGAGGCCAGCTCGGCGATACCCTGTCTCAAAAAAAAAAAAAAAAAAGACTAATTCCTAAGTAATCACTTGGCCTTTTTTGGCGGAGGTGGGGCTGGTACCGGGTATGGAACTCAGGACCTTGCACTTGTGAGGCAGGCAGCGGAACCACTGAGCTGAATCCCTGGCCCACTAACTTTGCCTTTTTTTTTCCATTCCTACAGGTTGGTGACATTGTCAAAGTCACAAGGATGAATATAAATGGCCAGTGGGAAGGCGAGGTGAATGGGCGCAAAGGGCTTTTCCCCTTTACGCATGTCAAGATCATTGACCCTCAAAACCCAGACGAAAATGAGTGATTGCTGTTGCCCTGTTTCCTGCTGCTTTGTTGTTCTGCCTGTCATAGTCTCCTTGAAGTGGGAAAGCATTCTCTCTCATAGGCAAGTTACACTGCATTGCCGACGTCCAGCTCTCTGCAGGTTGGAGGTCTCTCATCCACATTTGGAATGCACACAGCAGCTGCCTCCTGGGGTTTGTATCATAGTCGTATCGTCAAAGAGTAGTTGGTTTTAGAATTCTTTTGGATCATAAACTGGAAATACTGGTGGAAGCACACAAGTGAAGAGAAGTTGACAAGGAAAGGGTCTTCCTTCTCCTCGCTGCCCTGTTTGTACTTGGTACCGATTCTGTCGTGTTCATCACAGAAAGCCTGAGGACACGGCGAGGTCCTGCATTGTTGATGTTCCACAGCAGTGACTCTCACACCAACTTGTTTTCCCTTGGATGACAGAGGAACCATAAGGAAGAGAGAATCCTGTCCTAAATCCCCCACATGTGGCTTTTCTTGCATTTTCTTTGGTTTGGTTTGGTTTGGTTTTGGAAGACTTACTACACTTGTGTGTCCTGAACAGATTTTTAAGTAGCAGGTTGGATTTTTGAGATGTCCAAGGAATGACACGTGCCTCTGAGCTTCTATGCTGAAGCTGCTATAACTAAAGGAATATGAGAAGAACAGTCTTGAGGCAGCGGCTTTTACTGTCTTGATTGCCAGTTGTACCCTGTTTTGCCATATAAAAAACACAGTCATCACTCATGGTGTGCCAAGCTTTGTGCACAGCCTCTTGGATTACTGTGTCCCAAAGGCATCAGAGTGGAAGGAGATACTGGGAAACTTTTGCTGATCTTGTTTGCCAGTGACAGGAGAAATGAGGAGGGTGGAGTACGTGGCCAGTTGTCTGTCCATCTTTTCAGTAAACATCCCTTTAAGTTGTAGGACTAAAGTTTCTTCTAAAGTTAAGGTTTTAGATTCATTACTGAATCGTTACACTGGATCATTCAGTCTCCTTACAGAAGCCCACCACAGTCCTCCTCAAGCTTCCAGAGAAAGATGGTGCTGTCCGTGCTGGTTCAGTGGTCCTGAGAAAAGGAAATGCAAGCTCAGAAAACTGGTTAATGCGCTTGAGATCTAGTGTTGTAGTGAATAGGAAGAACCCTTAACCAATTTACCATTAACCACTTATCAGTTTGTTAATGTGAACGCATTTTTCTCTTAGCTAAAAGAGGACTTTATATAAGCCAGCTGGTACAAATGTGTGACTGGTCCCTCACCTGCACATGGCAGACTAGAATTCTGGAACCTTCATATAGTTTGTTGTGTCCTTCCTTCCAGACCCTGGTGAAGACAACCCTCAGCTCACAACACACCAGATCCAGGAATGTAGCAACAACCTAAAAAGTAATTCTAGCATTTAGGGAGCATCTGCTGAAACTGTGGTCCTGTGTCTGGAGGTTTTGAGGTTTGAAGTAATATATTCTGGTGACAGAACCAGCAAAGCAACCATTTTTCTGTTTCATTTTTCATTTCTGTATAACTCGATATTTTGTCAGGCTGACAACTGCCATTTTAAAGAATCTTGAGAGTATTCCTGCAACAAAGTAGTGATGAATTGGAAAAAACACCTCAGTTTGCCTGCTTGTGGTTTTCCTGAAAAAGGTGTAGAGATCCGTGCTTCATTAACCAAAGGTGTGGCCACCTCTGCTGAAACCAGTCCCTTCCACTTGCCTTTTCTGCCAGCATCTGTGGAGTGGGCTTGTTCTAATTAAGGCTCAGCCTGACACCCACAAGTGGTGGACACATGACAGAGTCCCTAAGCTCTACCTAGAAACAGTGCTTGCCTTGTAGCTAGTGACCTGGTTCAGCCCTGCACCTTCTAGCAGAGGTGAAATACACGTCTTGTTCAGAGGGCATAGGCCCTAAGGCCTTTTTTTTGGTACCAGGGATCCATCTCGGGTCCTTGCACTTGCAAGGCAGGCAGCGGAACCCCTGAGCTAAATCCCCGGCCCCCTAAGGCCTTTTTAAACCAGATTTAGTTGAAGGGCTCCTTGTCACCTTTAGATTATGGCAGTTGGCTTACACAGTCCAAGAAGTAAGTGGCCATTTTGGAAAGTAGGGTTTCTTTTCAACAAGCTCTGCTGATCCACCCCTTGTGGAGCACTTCAGACTCAAAACACCTGATAAACCTGAGTTTGGTTTCATAATGAATTACTTCAGCCCATGTATATGTCTCAAGGGCTGCCCGGGAGATTCCGAGCTTGAAATAACTTGATCCTTGAGTTCTGAACTCTCAAGATATGTGCCAAAAGTAGTCATTTTTTTACTTAGAACTTTATCGGTTTTTTAATCAAGCAGGGAAATATCTGTTTTTCACACTAAATAATGGAAAGCAGTGCCCCTGGCTGGACTTCCTACCCTGCTCCCTGCTGGTCTGGAAAGACATCCATGCTTCCTAGAGCGGTGTGAATATGACCCAGGGATGGGTTATCTTTTATGATTGTTCATTGTTGCTACTTGGTCTGCTCTACTGTGTTGTAGAAAATACTTGTATGTTAAATTAACTCACTATGGTTTTTCACCTGGAAATGAAACAAATTAGGTATGGAGGGCATTGACATTCTGATTAAGAACTTGCTTCTCCTGGGACAGACCTCCAGTACAGGAATCCTCTTTGTCATTTCTGTGCTGCGTGGTACCACCTAATGACATGCTTCACAAAGAGGGTGCATTGACCAGCTGTCGTTAGGTGACTGGTCACCCAGACTCGACACCTCATGTGCTGAAGGAAGGAGGAACGGACTGCTGCCCCTGCTTGGAGCTTCGCACCCCTGGCCTTCCTCGCAGCTGTTTACAGACAAGGCAGGCCCGAGGTGGATGGCCAACTGCTCTTGTGACATTCACTCAGAGGAATATGAACATTTTATTTTTTGAAAAGGGATGATGTGTTTTTGTGCCAGGTGTTTATAATTTAATCCTTTAATATTATGTTCATTAACTTCTTAAAATGAGTGAATTCTTGATTGTTTTAACACAGAACCTAAAACTAATGCTTTTGGTGGACACCACTGAGCTCTGCCTCCAACTCCATCCGCTGGGACTGGAGAGCCATGTCCCCAGTAACTGCTGTCAGTGTGAACACTGAGTTGTTTGTATGTTGCAAAGAAGTAGAAGGACAGTTCTCTGAGTCAAGACCGTTGTCCCTGCAGGAGGAGCAGTGGCCTTGCTTCTAGACGATCTTCACTGTGTGTTTTAAAACAACAACAATGTAAAAACTCTTTTGACCTGTAACTTAAAGATCATAAACTTCAGGCAATAATATTTTCTGTGTAAGCTTTTAAAATTATTTTTGGGGATCATAGCTTGTTTTATTTTGTGCTATAAAATTAACAGTATTAAATGACTTATATTCTTAGAATACATCGAGTGTCTTTTCTTAACAGATTAGTGCCTTTTTATTTTTGTATTCTATTTTACGTTACTGGTCCCAGCATCAAACCCTTGTTTCCATGGCCTGTTTGTACATTGTCTCAATAAAACTTGCATCAGCCGGTGGTGGCAGTGGCGGCTTCAGTGTTTCAGTTTATCCTTAGCCCCCACCAACCTCCCCAGCAGTTAAAGCAGTGGTGAAACCCCTGGTGCTCCTCAGAGACCCACTTGTGCTGCTCCCCAAGAGCACCCTTTGGACATTTGGGGCCCCCCTCCAAAAGAGAATGCTCCCAGCAAGATCCTCTAGCTGGGGCTTAGTCTTCTGAATATGGGGCAGTGGTTCTCACGTTTTGAACGACCATGGAGAAATTAGGCATTTTTCCTTCTAAGCACCCATATATGCAGGCTTCTAAGTATTTGCTGAGTGTGAGCAAACAAATTATTTCAAGCCAAGTCATGGAAAACAGCCAGGTTCCAAGTGGGGCATTACCTTAATTGCCTTTCTTAAACATCTTTTATTAATGTTTCCTTTAACATAAAATCTTCCTGGGTCACTAAATTGCCCAGGCTGGGCTTGAATTTAGAAACCTCCTGCCTCAACCTCCCAGTGTGGTGGGATTAGAGAGAGACTCCACCACACCTGTCTTCAGTCTTTTTGTTTGTTTCAGTTGGTGACCCTCCTGATGAGCTTTGCGGGGAGCATCGAGGATGCTTGTGTTGGTAGGCCTGCCAAAGACCTCAGCACTCCTTCAACCGGGACCTGTCCGTCATCCCTGTGCCCCCAGCTCGGAGCATAGTTTATCTTTGTGCTGTTTATGCATGTTGACAACTCCCAGGTTTTATGGTAAAAACTTGAATAACATACATTTTCTCCCTAGTCCTTAGGATTGGACCTTGGGTCTTGAAAGTGATAAGCACGTACTCTACCATTGAGCTGCATCCCCAGCCCACCCACCACTTCCCTTTTTAAATCTTATTTTGAGATAAGGTCTTCCCAAGTTTCTTGTTCAAGCTGACCTCAAATGGGATGTTCCTGCTACGGTCTCCTGAGTAGCTGGGATTATTGGCAAGCACCACCATGCCCGGCTCTCATACAATATATAGAACTGCGCTGCTAAAACGTCTTCCCTGCCTTCTGGGAGGATTCTGCTAAATTTAAGAGAGATGTTAGTCTTAACTGGAAAAATTAAATCTGTCGAATTATTCTGAAAGAACTGATACCTAGAGACGTCTGTGAAGAATACCTTGTGTTAAGGTTGGATCCGCCTGCGGTGGGGTTGACCTTGGGCTCCTATGCATTCCCTCTTCCTGCCTCCTTGCTGGATTAGGAAGCAGCCCAATCTCAGAGACGAGTAACCTGGTCCATCGACCTACCCCAAAAACAGCACCACCCCCACCCGAGCTTCTTGGGTCTGTGCGTTCTGGGAGGCTCTCCTAAAACTGGCACCATCACCACTCCCAGCTTGCAGTTATGACCCGACCGTGGTCTTTTTTTTTTTTTTTTTTAATTAGTACACATAATTACATTCATTGTGGGAAGTTGGTATGTGTACATAATACCTGGGGGAGAGGAGAATTCAGACTGGCTCTCCCTGTGTAGTTGGGGCTGCCCTTGAACACTAACCCAGGCTGTCCTCAAACTCAGCAATCCTGCCTCAGCCTCCTGAGTGCTGGAACTACAAGCATTGCCCACCACACCCAGCCATAACACATTTTAATTCTTTTTATATCCCCACCCCTTCCTCCATCTCTTGGTCCCCTTACTATTTGCAAAAGGTCTCCCTGTTTCCTATTTCCTTTTGCTCTTCATACTTTGGGTTTCTCATATGGCCATGCAACATTTAACCTTGTGGCTCTGGTTTCACTTAACAGCCATTCTTAGCCTGTTGTTACAGTCTTCTGCCCACACGCTGATGCTTAGCACCAGCAGGAATGCTCTGTTTGCTGGTACTACCCTGGCAAGGGGGTCGTTCAGAGATGCTGAGAGCCTTGGGCTTCCCGGCAGTTCCAGAAGACCAGAACTGGAAACCTGGTGGGGGAGCCATCCCAGCCGAGGGAGACTCAGACTTCCGGATCCCAGGCCCCTCGTACTGGGGAATTGAACCCAGAACTGACCCACATCCTCAGCCCTTCCGTTTGTTTTGAGACAGGGCCTCGAGTCACTGCATTGCCCTGCTAGAATTTGTTTTCTTTTTCTGCCTCAACCTCCCCAGGCAGCACCACCGTGCTTGGCTGAGGTTTTCTCTCAGCGGTGCCCTCCCCTGCTGAATCAGAAGTCTAGGTCACCTCCAAACCTCTTACCTCAACACCACTGGCGCTCCTTCCAGGGCCCACCCCAGGTACTGACTTCATGGGGTCCAAGCACTAGATTTCCCACTTCCCCATCCTGGGTTTAAACCCAAGGCCTTCACATTATATCTCCGGTCATTGTTTTAAGATTTTTTTTTTTTTTTTTTGCTTTACAGTTTACTTAACTAAAATGCCATATACTGACTTCCATTTGTTTTGATACATCTGAAAACTAAAAGTGTAAATCAGGTTCAAATGGTACAACTGATAGTGTGAAACAGGAAGAAAATGGCTAAAGGAGTGGGAAAGGAAATAAGGGAAAAGAAAATGTGAAAAAAGGAAAAAATGGAAATGAAGTCCTTGTAAATAGGGAAGGGTGAAAAGGTCAAGGGAGGGCAGGGGTCTGGGTAAAAAATTAGAACCAAGACGTGTAAAAGTACAAGATCCCAATTATAAATGCAACTAGTGTTTGCTTTAAATGCACCAATAAACCCAACAGGAAAATAAAAATAAATAAAATACTTTGATACATCTTGCCTCCCACCTGATTTAGAAGATTTTCAAGCCAATATAAATATTTCATAACTATGTGGCCATTGGGGTGCATATCTGCACAATACCTCACATCTTTCAGCGAGAAAAACAGAGAAGAGTGAAGACCTGACACCGTTAACTGGGTGTCGTGAGAATCTGCTCCAAATGTTGTTTCTCTGAGGTAAAGGCCCCACACCCGTTCAATTAAGAAAACCATCCTTACAGCAGAGGATGATTTTTATTTTTAAGTCGGGCTTAGGGCACTCAGCCGCTAATGAGGAGCTGCAGGGCAGAGCTGCATCCCCAGCTCCCGCCATGAATCCACAGGGAGCAGGTTCCACAGACTCAGGCTCCTTCCCATGGGTTCTCAGGAAGAGCGCTTCTCTGGGCGGGGCGGGCTGCGCTTCAGCTGAACCCAGGGCCCTTTCTCTTTGGCTTCCTTCTCTTTCTGATCATTTTCCTGGACACGTTTCAGAAGCTATCTCGACTCTTTGAGTGTTTAATATGCTCAGTGCGCACATTAATCCTCTGGGCAAGTGTCTTGCCCTTACCTGGCTTGTTCACAACAATGCCAGCAGCATGCTGGGTAACACTGTACACTCGAAGTTTTGCCATGGTAACATTTGTGTGATTCCTTTTCGAACAATACCCATTCCCTTGATGTCTACAGTATCACCCTTTTTGTAGATCCCAGGTATGCGGCCAAGGAACAGCCCCATGTTCTCTAAAAGGCCTAGAGAACATTTACTGGGTTCCCCTCCTCTTTTCCTTTGTGTTTGTCATTTTGGCAAATTTCTGGAAGCTGACCGTTCTGGCCAAAAGGCTTAAGATTGTTTTTTGAAGAGCTGGGGATGTAGCTCAGCAGCGCCACATTTGCCTGGCAAGTACAAGATCCTGAGTTTGATCCCCGGTACCTGAAAAGGAAGAAAGAAAGAAAAAAAAAAGATTTCCGGGGCGGGGGTACCGGAGATTGAACTCGGGACCTTGCGCTTGCGAGGCAGGCGGCAGAACCATTGAACTAAATCCCCAAAGATTATTTTTTGAGACAGCGTCTTGCTAAATTTCGCAGACTAGCTGAGTGCGGTGGCGCGCACCTGTAACGCCAGCAGAAGGATCTCTGTGAGTTCGAGGCCAGCCTGAGCCGCGTGGCGAGATCCGTTTCAAGAAACCGAACGGCCTGCCCAGACTGTCAAAGCTGTGATCCTCCTGCCTCAGCTATCCAGAGTGCTGTATACGCTGCAGTTTTTGTTGTTTTTGTTTTTAAATATCACGTTTTATTCGTAGCATAACCATTTTTCTCCTCCTCCTCCGGCTCCTCCTTCTTTCTTCTTCTTTCTTC